AATTCCTCGCGCTAATGCTAACGTTGGCAAACGAAGAAGCAGTGGAGGAAGAAACGCCACCAGAACCAACTCCAACACTTGAGGAAAACCCCAAAATAGTGCGCGCGCTCTACATGCGCACCTCTGGACTTTGTGCAACTGGCGACCTGTGGCATCAGCTCCTTGGTCATCCCTCGCACGTAACGCTGAACAACTTCATCGAGGCAGGAGTATTTGTGTTTGGCGCACTCCTGCGCACTGACAGCTCCGAAATCAGAACCACACCGCTGCAACACACCTGCAGCGTCTGCCCCAAAGCTCCACTGAGTCATCAACCGTTCCCACTGCTGGAGACAGGAATCAAACTCTACCCCAAGCTACACAAGGTATACAGCAACTTTCTTGTCGTCGGCCACTGCGGGCATAACGACAAAGAGCATACGCTTACCTTCGTGGATGCGAGTACCCGCTACGTGTGGATCGCAAACGTGCAGTTCTGCAGCAGGGCATACGAGGTTTTCCGCCTGTGGTTTGCTCACTCCCTTACACGCATCCGCAAAAGGGCGTTGCGGAACGCACCAATCGCACCCTCATGACGAAGGTGCGTGCGCTGATGAGACAGTCGAAGCTTCATGCAACGTACTAGCCGTACGCTATGCACCACGCCACGCCATGCGCTCATATATGCCATTGTTTTAAACATCTCAGTGATTTTAAATTCACTCTGACCTGAGCTCAACACTTCCGCTGCAACATACTCTCTGCAAACCTTCCAGAGGTGATCCTAGGCACGATCAAACTTCTGATAGCAACAGTAAAGGCCTGCGCTAGATACCATATCAAGAAGCGAAGTTAAGTTTAGGAGCTAAAAGAAGGTAGCAAACAAGAAGAAGGGGTTTGCATTAGGAATAGGAGCGAGATATGCAACCAAGCGGCGGTGGCAAGGGGTGCACCACCAGCAGGTTTAACACCACTATTCTTCAGTACATGCAGTTATAAAAGACTATAGAAATATGTGTTTGACATCCATGTCAGTACAATAGGCTCAACACAGCACATAAAGAAGAAAAACAAGAAATTGTACGTACGGAGACAAATAAAAACTCAGGGTTTAGGCTGTGGGGACTTTGAAAGCTGAAGGCACGAACTCATTGAATACCTCCAAACCCGGGCTTGTCACTTGTATCGGGATCAAATGTGGACTCTGGAGACAGAACCCTGTCAATGTTTGCTAACCTCTTCCCCACTTCCCCCTTAATGCTGCAAATCGTACAACACAACACAAGACAAGGTCTCAGAGAAAACCGGACAAGAAAGCAACATGTTACGGATGGATGAACTGCCATAAGCAGACAAATTTAGGCGAGCCAACAGCACTCCTACAGACTCACCTCATTCCTGCCTTCTGTGTAGCATCATACGATGCACTCCGCCGATGAACATGAGCAGCCTTACGCAACCTTTGCAGCCTGGTTCCTCTGCTGCTGCTGCTCCTGGCTGGTCTCGCTTGACATTGCCTGAGAATTTCCGAACGGAGAGTTGAGTCGTCCATACGATGCCTTGGGGGGCAGCTGCTGCCGCAGCAGCAGGTCTGCGACTGCTGTAGTTGTTGTTGCTGCTGCTCCTCATGAGGGGATTGTGAGAGTGTCAGGGGTGAATGTGCTGGAGAGAGCAATTGGTGCTCCATACCTAAGGTGATGCTCCTCCTCTTCGGTTCCCTCAGCTGTGCTGCTGCTTCCAGTGCATCAAGTTCAGCTTCTGGTGGGCAAGGTTCGGCAAGTAGTGACGACGAAAAAGGCAAGATGCTCCTTGTCCCCCTTAGCATGTCTGCATGACCTGCATTGTCAGAACGACCGAAGCTTCGAGCAGGATATATGCTGCCAGATGTAGCAGAGGGGTGGAAGTTTGGCGTCTTGGGGTAAGCTCTCGCACCGGAAAAACCAGCAGCAGGAGAATCACCAGCACTGGAAGCACAGAAGCAGATATCAGATGCAGTGGAAAGGCGTGCAGGAGGAGGGTCGGGCTCAGCTGTGAGAAAAATACCCGATGACGAATCAGGTTGATAGAAAAGTGAGGCATCGGCAGGAGACGCGTCTGCATCGCCCGCACTGCTAGCAGTGCCAGCACCGCCTGCACTAGCAGCATGGAAAAAGGAACCAGATGAAGTGGAGGGGCGCACGGGGGCGAAAGCAGGCGAGCCTTGTACGGATCCCCAGCTTGTGCGGCGCTGGTGCTGGGATGATGGCGAGGCAGACACGGGAGACAGAGCAGCAGAGACAGAGGCAGAGGCAGAGCTGGGTAAAGCAAAGACACCAGAGCCGCGCACTGACGGGCTGCTGCATTTTCTTAAGGAGTTTCCCGAGGAAGAGAATTCGGGGAGGAGGGAAGCCGCAGAGTAGGCTTGCTACCTCTGGATGTTGGCCGGGTCCAGGTATTGCTCGCGGCTCCATTCCTTGACCTGTGTGTAGTCAAGTGGGGGTGAGTGGAGTGGATGTATTGGGTGACTTTGGCTTTGGAGATTGACATTGCACACGCGAACTATGATGTCGCTCAGTCCAAGTACCACTCACGGCTCCACAGCTTCCCCTACACGCACTAGGGGGGTGAGTGATTTGTTTTGTCTCGGACCTTAAAAAGAAAGAGATAAAAAAAGACTTCAATGTGCTACACACTGGCCTGGCACATCACTCCTGTGGCCCTGCACACACTTACAGAGGAGAGAGGAGTGCATATGAGCGAGCAAAGAGGGGAGAAGAGGGGAGAAAAGGAGAGAAGTGAGGCGAGGGAAGGTAAGGGAGGAGGGGGGGGGGGGGGGGGGGGGAGAAGAGGAGAGTGCAGATGGAAGAGGAGAAGGGGAGGTGGGAGGTGCTCACCTTGTTGAATTTATCCATGAGATCATCCATTGTCCTCTGCACGGAAACCACACCCTCCTGCGATGATTTTACCATTCTCGAAAGGCGGTGCCACAAATAAAGCATCGAAAGGCGGTGCCACAGATAAAGCATCATTTGTGATGTTAGCGGAGTTGGTTCATTTGGGCAGTAGATTGGCTGCTATGTCGAGGGATGTACCGATGGTGGATAGGATATTGGTTGACCCCAAGTTCACAACGGGTAATCCTGGAATTAACCTGGATGTCCCATGACCAGTTGTAGGAACATTGGCAAGGAAAACAGGGGCAATGGTAGCAACAATAGCAATAGAAGAGGCAGCAGCAGCAGCAGTAGCAGCAGCAGCAGCAGTGGAGGATGTAATGACTGATCCTGTTTTTTTCTGCTTCTACTTCTGCCTCTGGTTCTGCTTCCCTTTTTGCTTCTCCTTCTCCCGCTGCTTCTCTTTCTGCTGCTTCTTCCCCAACACTGCCTATTGATATGGCTATATGCAGCCGTGATAGTGCTACACCTGCTGCCACTGCCCCTTCTGCTACTACTTCTCCTAAAGCATCAGCAGCAGCAGCAGCACCTGAAGCAGCAGCAGCAGCATCATCAGAAACAAAAGCAGCAGGACCAGACTTAAAATCAAACACCACGACGTCACTTTCAACCTCGGCAACAGCAGCAGCAGCACGTTGAACCTCATCCTCATCCCCACCACCACTCAATTCCCCATCCTTTTCCTCCTCAACCTCATCCCCCACCCCCCCTCCTCACTCCCTCCAAAAGTACTTCCACATGCTTGCTGCCCTGCCTTGAGAACCCCATGCACATTGCACTAGCCAGCGCAATCGACAAGTCATGCAAGACAGGGCCCCCTAAGCACGACACAGTGACACTTGGGATCGCTTCGACTACAGGGAGGCTAGAAGTGCCAGTGCTAGGTGCGGTAGATGGATCGGTGCGAGAAGATGAGGCTGGGTTGGATGCGGTTGGCAGTGATGCGAGGAGAGGCAGGGAACGAATGTTGCTCCTTATGCTTTGGGCTGTAGCCACAGCGGCAGTGGCGGTGGCAGCAGTGGTGGCAGCGGCGATGGTGGTGCTCCTGCCACTAATGACAGAGAGTGGGGCTGTGCTGCTGCTGCTGCTGCGACTGGTGCCATAGAAGCTGGCCAAGTCGGTGGGCACACAAGAGAAGAGATTCACAATGGAGCCAGCATTGCCGCCCTCGTTCCCCAAGGAGCCTCCACCCTCAATCCCCACACTAGAACTACCATTGTAACACCCATCGCCATGAGTACCCTTATCATCGCCATCACTGTCGTCATCGCTTCTGCCATTGCCTCTTTTGCGATGAGCACCAGAACCCGCAGCCAGAACAAGGTGGCCCAGGTAAAACACCCAGCCGGGTCCTCGTTGCATTGTTCGGCCTGCCCGAAAACCTGTTGCTCCTGCTGCTGCAGCTCCAGCTGTTTTCGTGCTTCCATGCAGCGGTGCCATGCCATGCCATGCCATACCATGCCATGCCAGCATCGTTTGCATTGTAGGCACCACAGCAAGGGCACACACACACACCACGCCAACAGGAAGGGAAGGTGCGTGAGACCACGTGTTTGCGAAGTGATCAAGGAATAGGCAGGGAGAAAGCCAGGGGGTAGAGGGGTTAGAGGGCGAGAAATGAAGCAAGCGTTAGTGGTAACCGGTTTGTACCCGTTGTAATGGTAACCAGATCTTACTGGCTGTGACATTAACCAGTTTGCAGCAGTTGTAACAATCACCCGGATGCACCAGATCATAAAGGTAGCCAGCTCATACCTGTTGGAACGGTAAGTAGGTCGTAGCAGTTGTAACTATAACCAGACCATACTGGTGGTAGCAGTAGCTGCGATAGATGAGCAGCCCCCCACACGCGATGCAGCAGAGCAGCAAGACAACTAGTTAGAGGCTGAGAGTCAATCAAAGCAGGTCGTCCTGGTGGTAGCGGTAACCGCGATAGATGAGCGCCTTCACAATGCAGCAGAGAACGCCGGACAGGCTTATTGCAGTGTACATAGAGGGCTTATTGCGTGTACATAGAGGGCTTTTTGCAGTGTACATAGAGGGCTTATTGCTTGTACATAGAGGGCTTATCACGTGTACATAGAGGGGTTATTGTAACGCAACTGTAACCACAGTGCACGTAGACGGTATGGTAACCACAACAGTGGGGCAGGTCGTACTGGTGGTAGTGGTAACCACGTCGTACGGGTGGTGGTGGTAGCGGTAACCGCGGTAGATGAGGAGGCCCACATAGGCGATGCAACAGAACAGCGAGACAACGAGGTAGAGGATGAGCAGCGCCGTGAACTTCTGCACGTTCACCTCCGTTAGCACAGAGCTGGCCTGGTCCTCCCCGCACATGTTGTCCTTCTGAAGAGGGTTGCAGGGAGGGGTTAAGAGGGTTGCAGGGAGGTGTTGAGAGGAAGAGCTGAGAAGTTGTGAGCGTTGACCTCCGTCAGCATGGCCGAGTTGGCCTCATCAGCACATGTTGTCCTTTTGAAGAGGGTTAGGGGGGGGAGGGTGAAGGAGGAAGAGGAAAGAGGATGAGAGCGCCTGAAAACTTGTGAATGTTGGCTTCCGTCAACACTGCTTAGCTGAATTGATCATTGTTTCACATGCTGCACTTCTGGGGAGGTGGTGGGGGTTGGGTGGAGAGGAAATAGAGAGGAAAGAGCTGAGAACGTCTTAAATTTGACTTCCGTCAGCACTGCTGAGTTCACCTGGTCATTGCTGCACACGCTGCCCTTCTGAAGAGGGTGGATTCGGACGGAGAGAGAAGAGGGAAGAGGACAAGCAGTGCAGAAAATGTGCAAATGTCGACCTCTGTCAACATGGAAGCGCTGGCCGTTTAGTCATTGCTGCGAAGCTGTCCTTCCGAAAGAAGGGTGTGGGGAGAGAAAGATTTGGACAAGAAGAGTGAAGGGGGATTAGGGAAGAGGCAAGAGGGAAGAGGGCAGAGGAAAGAGGGCACAGGGAAGAGGGAAGAGGGAAGAGGAAAGAGGGAAGGAAACACATGCTTTGACTCTACGAATCATAATTCCTTTCCTCCCCACACACTGAAGTCTACGAACCCTCATACTCTTTTTTCACACCCACCTGCAAGTCACTGCGTCGTGAGCCTCTCAAGCTCCCTTTCTTGAGGAGTCACCTTAGCATCTGCCTGAGGAAATCCCCCCAAGGTACTGACTCAACTGATCCTCCTCACGGCTTCTTCTTGAGTTCTTCTTTCACACACCCACCTGCAAGTACAGCGCCTTGAGGCGCTCTAGCTCCCCTTGCATATGCAGCTCAAGGATGGCCTGGGAGATGTCCGCCCCTACCTGCGACCCCTTTGGGAATGCCTGTGGGGTGACGATGGTGAGAAAGGGGTGGAGGTGGGTGGGAAGGGGGGTGAGGAAAGAGGATGTGATTCGGGGGTCAACAGAGCTGAGAGAAGGAGAGAGTGGCGAGAGGAGAGAGAGGAGGCAGGGAAGGGAGGGGAGCAAAGCAAGGAAGGGGGAACGCAGTTCACTGTAACAAGGCGGGGAATGGAGTAGGATGTGGTGCCGAGCTCTTTCTTGCAAGTGAGGCATGGTGATGGGGACGTGAAGCTGGTCTTTCAAGGGACACAGTTTCTGAGACGTCTCGAAAATCTTTGCAGCGAGGCATGGCTGATGGGAATGTGGTGCCGATCTCTCAAGAAACACAAAAAACATTCTGTGGACATATGGGTGGAAGATGCACATGCACAAACACAAAATTTACATGCAAATGCACATGCACAAACACACATATGCAAACGCACATGCACGTGCATATAGATTTACATCCTCACAACCACTTCCAGCAACCAATTCTCAGCATGCACATATGCCACAGTGCACATGCACCACAGAACACCACAGAACACCACAGTCCACCACAGAGCACCACAGAGCACCACAGAGCACCACAGAGCACCAAAGATCACCACAGAGCACCACAAATCACCCACAAAGGCGAGGTTGAGGATGGAGAAGGGCTGCGATGCCTGAACCCCATCACAGAAGGAAGCGGAGAAGAGGTTGAGGTAGGGGTCCTCGCCCACTATCACTTCCACCCTTCCTGATGCGAGCGATGATGCAAACTCGCTCTCCCCTGCCAGCGACACCAGCTTGTCCTGCCAGGGAAGAGAGTGGGTGAGGCCGGGGGGAAGGGGTGCGGCAGGCAAGTAAGCACCACTTATCTGCGAATTAAGTTGTTGCGGACTAGCACTGTCAAGGAAGCAAGATGACTTCTGAGTCGACTCAAAAGTCACTGCCATGCAAGCGGAGAAGAGGTTGAGGTAGGGATCCTCGTCCACTTTCACTGTCACGTCACCCTCTCTGACGCCAGTGATGATGCATACTCGCTCTCCCCTTGACGTTGCAGGGATTTCTAAAAAAATCCCTGATGCATACTGGCTCTCCCCCACCAGCGACACCAGCTTGATCTGATGGCATTCAAGAGGTGAGTGGAGGGACAGAGAGAGAGGGGGGAAAGGGAGACGGGTGGTGGAGAAGAGGTTGAGGTAGGAGTCCTCATCACCCGTCCGTTTTTTAGGCGCTTCAAAGTTCCTCATCACCCGTCCTGATGCCAGTGAGACAACACATACTCGCTCTCCCCCGCCAGCAATGCCAGCTTCTCTTGATAGGACTCTGGGGGTGTGAAAAGGAGGGGAAGAGGTGCAGAGGGTAAGGTAGAGGAGGGGGTAAGGTAGTGGAGAAGGTGCAGGCGTGGTTGTGCTAGCCTCACAGACTGTTAGCAGACTACTGCCACGCTACTGATAGTGCCATACGTGCTACAGCAGCTGGTGAGATGCATAGCATGAACCCACGTCCCTCATACAGCCAGGGGCGAAGAACGGGCAGCAGCAGCAGGTAGGTGAAGGGGGAAGGAGAGCAAATGGGCATGTGAGTCCCGCATGGCAGGGCGTGAGAATCGGATTGAATTTATTTGCTTTGAAACGGGGTATATGTATCAAATGACTTGCAGTTCTGAGATGCGGGATAATCAGGGGAGGTGAAAGAAACACTCACAGGGGCAACACCCAGCTTCAACAGGTACGAATGCACGAAGGATCCCTGCTGGTAGCCGATAGGGGATTTGCTGCTGAGAGCGGAGTAGATGTCCTGGGGGGGTGGGTAGAGGTAGAGGGCGCAAGAGTAGGTAGCAGGGAGGGAGAAAGGGAGGTGCGAGCATGCACGCATGTGCCAAAAAAGGAGCTGTGTTACTGGTAGGCAATGGGTGAGTTGCTGATGAGGGTGGAGTAAATGTCCTGGCGGGGTGGGTGGAGGGCGCAACAGCAGGTAGCAGGGAGACGGAGAGGCATGGGTCTGTGCATTTGCAGGGAACGGAGATGTAGGGGATGGAGGGATGGAGGGGAGCATGGGATGAAATATAATCTGGGATAAAATGTGCTTAGATGGAAGAGAATTTCTACCATTGCACGTGCTAATATAGGAGAGGGAAATGCTTACCGTGTGCGGCACAGGGAACGAGATTATACGAAAGAAAGCAACTATAATGCAGGTGATTATACTAGAAGGCTTTCTCACAAGGATTTGCAGGAGCCTTTAGATTGTGAGGATGGAGATGAGATAGGCAGTGTAGGATGTGGCTATAATGAAGGCTAGAAGCAGCCATGTGCGTGCAAGTAGAGAATGAGATTGAAACAGGTGCTCACGAGGATTTGCGCAAGGAGCCTCTGGATTGTGAGGATGGAGGTGAGATTGGCAATATAAGAGTTGGCTATAACGAAGGCCAGCAGCCCAGATCACCACAACCACCCGTGCAAGTGTCGTGTGGATGCGGAACACTGTTGGAGGGAGGGGCGATACACTCTCACGCTCACACCCACCCCCACCCACACACACAAAGATGATAATTCTACTTACTTGCTCTAGTCTGATATGCAAACCAAAAAAAAAAAAAAAAAAAAAACTATTATGAAGATTACAACGACGGGGGAGAGAAGTCATGGGAGGACACGGGAAGAGGAGAGATGGGAGAAGGGAAGGGGAGTGGTGGAGTGAGGTAGGAAGAGATAGAAAGTGGTGGAGAGAGGTGGGAAGAGATAGGGAGTGGTGGAGAGAGGTGGGGAGAGGTGGGGAGTGGTGGGGAAAGGTTGCAAGAGGACACACCGGGAGTGGAGTAGAACGTGTGGCAGCCATACCTGCAAGCAAGGATAAGGGTGGGAGGGATTACCGAAGGGGTGAAGGGGTGTGTGTGTTAGAAATATGTTGTCAAGACTTTTGTACTATATTCTTTATCACGTAGGCTATTTGTAGGTTGGGTGTAGGCCTTGTCATCCCAGCCTTATCTGGTTGGGATTCATTGGAGATTTAGCTCAGTTCTGACAGTGTGTGTGTGTGTGTGGGTGGGGGGGGGGGGTCCGTGTGTCTGTGCGTGTGTATGTGTGTGTGTGGGGGTGTGGGTGGGTGTGTGTGTACGTGTATATGTACATGCGTTTGCGTGTGCGTGTGTGTGTGTGTGTGTGTGTGTGTGTATAGGTGGTCGCATGCATGAGTGTGAGAAAAAACGACAGTTTTCTTTTTTTTTCTTCTTCTTCTTCTTCTTCTTCTTCTTCTTCTTCTTCTTCTTCTTCTTCTTCTTCTTCTTCTTCTTCTTCTTCTTCTTCTTCTTCTTCTTCTTCTTCTTCTTCTTCTTCTTCTTCTTCTTCTTCTTCTTCTTCTTTTTTCTTCTTCTTTCTGTGTGTGTGTGTATGTGTGTGTGTGTGTGTGTATTATCACCTTAAAAAACCGTCGTTTAAAATGGTTCCAGGAGTTGTTATATGTTTAATGAACAAAACGACCACTTTATGGGACCAAATTGAACCCAAGATTCAGTAGGATGAAGGGGGCGGGCCCCTTCTTGCACATGTGTGGTAGTTGGCTTGATTGAAAATGTATTTGACCTTGTTTTTCCCTTTTTTCTTGGTGAACAGAGTTATGTAACAAAAAAACGGCCGGCTTTTTTGAAAAATCACTGTAAAAAATGACTGTGAAAAAACGTACCGTATCTTATGAAATCCGCTTTGAATAAACTTGCGTGTGAGGGTTTGTACGCATGTGCAGCAGCTTGCCCTGGGATGCGGGTGTGTACTGCCTGTCCAGCAGAACAGCGAGTAGACCTGTGGCGATGCAGACAACTACACCGCGGCTATGCAGAGCGGCACCGCAACTATGCAGACGGCTGCACTGCGGCTATGTAGACGGCTGCACTGCGGCTATGCAGACGGCTGCACTGCACTGTGGCAATCAAGATACTAGAAGATCCACTACCTAAAGATCCGCAATCAAGCACCACCAAGATCCAGCCCACTCACTCACCACACGGCTGTGATGAGGCGCTTGTGCAGCGGGCCTTGGAAGTCAGGCGTCCTTTGCCGGTCCAGCAGCATGGCGAGTAGCCCTGTGGTGAGGCAGATGGCGGCAGTGATGGCCCACATGGAGGCCGTGAATGGGGAGAAGACCATCCAGGAGTTGCTGTATGGCCGCGAATACCCCATCACGCTTAGTCCGGATTGCTGGGAGAGGAAACACGGGAAGGGAGGGGAGGGGAGAGGAAGGGAGGAGGGGGAAAAACAGCAGCAATAAGAGTGATGCATGAGTGGAGTAGATAGCTGACGTAGGGTTTGCTGTATGGCCGCGAGTAGCGCATCATGTTAGTGTTAGCCCTCAATCTCACACTATGTATTTCATATCATCTATATCCTAGCGTAGTGTAGTTTGCACTTTGTGTTTGGTTGGGTGTACACCTACATCCCAACCAAACCCAAATGTAATCTCCAAGCAATCTCCAACCCACCAATTGGAGATTGCCTTGGGATTACCCCCAATCCCTAGGGATTGCCCATGATCCCCTTCCCCATCCATTGCTTGCCCATCTTGGATGTACTTAAAGAGCTTCAAGCTCATTACTAATGCATCGCTTCTAAGCCTAGGTTGTGACACATCAATCCCAGCCCAGTTTGCTAGGAGAGGAGGCATGAGAGACAGCAGCAAGAAGAAAAGGAGAGAAAGGAGAAGGGGAAGGAGAGGGCAGGTGCGGGGGTGGTGTGTGCATGGATTGGAGGCCAAGGAAGAGCAAGGTTTGGTGTTAGGTCATGAGTAGCAAATCACACCCAGACCAGATTGCTGGGAAGGCATGAGAAGCGGAGTGAAATGGAGGGGAGGGCAGTGGTAGAAGTAGTGTCTCAGAATATTCCTCTTATTGCCTAGTTTCAATGGCCCCAATCCAACCACATGCCCCCACGTCACAGACACCCACCTCACGTGTACCCACCTCACACACACCCACATTACACGCACCCACCTCACACGCACTTACGTCAGATGGGGTAGCACGTTCGGCCTGGCATTGCCAATACCTTGATGGGGAAGGTGCACATGGGGTAGCACGTACGGTTTGGCATGTGTGGCTGTACCTGAATGGGGTAGGTGGTACCTGAACGGGGTGGGTGGTACCTAAATGGGGTAGGTGGTACTTGAACGGGGTAGGTGGTACCTAAATGGGGTAGGTGGTACCTGAACGGGGTAGGTGGTACCTAAATGGGGTAGGTGGTACCTGAATGGGGTAGGTGAAAAAGACGAGTTTGCTCCGCGAGTCCAGCACTGTAATGTCCCTCACCGCTGCATCGTACGTCTGCTAGCCAGCCAGGGGTGCAGAGTGTCAGAAATAACTGAGCAGGAATGAATGAACTAGAACAGAGTTTGGTACAAGTAGGAAACCCTAACTTTGTGTACCCCCTAAGGTGTAACCCACTACAGCCTAGACAATATAAACATGCAATGTTTGACACACCCCCATAGGCGCAGTGGGAAACAACCACAGGGTCACAAGACCAGTCAAAGCAAAGCAAAGCAAGCTCAGGGTGGATCTCAAGGATTCCACACAAATTCCGAGCACAAGCAAGCGGTCACAAGACCAGTTCACATGCAGGTTTATAACAAAGCAAGAGATACAGTGATCACAACCTAGCAAAAGTAAGCAAGAAGGCATATATATATAGTGATCACAGTACAAGTAAGGTCAAGAGGTAAGCAAGTGAGGCCCAGTAGGTACAAGGCCTAGCAGAGTGCAAAAGCGCTGATGGTCACAAGGCTGAAGCGCCTTGGTGAACACATCAGCAGTGTTGGCCTCCATGGCCACGTAACGCAGACAAAGCTGACCACGCTGCTGCAGCTCTCGAGCAAGGAAGTACCGCAGAGCGATGTGCTTCGTTCTGTGCTCCAGTCTGTGCTCCTCACACAAGGCAATGGCAGCCTTGTTGTCGACGTACAGCACTGGAGGAGAACGAGGCCGCTCTCCGAGGTCGGTCAGCAGGTAGGTCAGCCAGCGTAGCTCCTGAGCAGCCATGGCTGTGGCGTAGATCTCAGCCTCACAACTGGAGCTGAGAACAGAAGAAGAGCGAGTAGAACGCCAAGAAACTGAGCCAGAGCCAAGGCTGAAGGTGTAACCCTGGGACGACCGCTGAGTAGCCTGGTCGTCTGCCCAAGAAGCGTCTGAGTGCCCTGTGAGAACAACCCGGTCTCGCCCTCCAAGCACAAGCCCCATGCCCGACGTACTGCACAAGTAGCGCAACACCCTCTTAGCAGCATCCATGTGCTCCTTCCGGTGACGGCCAGGAGCGACATAGCGTGCTAGGATGCTAAGAGGGTATGCAAGGTCAGGTCGAGTGCAGGTCATCAGGTACATGAGGCAGCCCACAAGCTCTGGATACGGGCCACTCGGCTCTACGGACTCATCCGAAGGCAGAGCTGAGAGCGAGTGACCGGTAGGCAGAGGAGTGGACTGAGGCGAGGAGTACGTGAAGCGGAAGCGCTGGAGAACCTGCTGCACCATGTGTGACTGAGTCAGGGTGATGGTGCGCCGTGCTCTGTCCCGGGTGATCCGCAAGCCAAGATAGCTCGTCAGCTCACCCAGGTCTGTGCACGTGTGTCTCCTCTGCAGCTCCGACTTCACGTGAGCGAGTGCCGCGGTGTCAGCAGTGGCAAAGACCAAGTCGTCGACGTACACGAGGATGTAGAACGGCGGCAGCGAGGTGTCGGTGCGTAGAAACAGCGACGGGTCAGCAGTAGAGGGAGCGAACCCAAGAGCCGCAAGTGTCGTCCTCAGTGTGTCGTGCCACTCACGTGGCGCCTGGCGGAGACCGTAGACCGGCCGCTGAAGCCTCCACTGGGTGCCAGGAGGAAATGACCCAGTGAAGCCAGGGGGGCGGCGCAGCCAGATCTCCTCGTGCAGGCTGCCCTGCAAGAAAGCAGTGCTGAAGTCAAGAGAGTGAAGCTCGTAGTCGCGGTGAGCGGCTATGTGCAGCAGCACCCGAAGAGTAGTCATCTTCGGGGTGGGGGAGAAGGTCTGAAAGAAGTCTACTCCCTCTCGCTGACTGAAGCCTCGAGCCACGTAGCGCGCCTTGAAGACAGGTGGAGAACCCGGAGGCCGCTTCACCCTGAAAATCCACATGCCACTGACGATGTTCGCCCCAGGAGGGGGAACCTCGTCTACGTAGGTGCCTGTGGACTTCCAGGAGGCCATCTCTGCGTCCATGGCTGTCTGCCACTGAGAGGAGTAGGGACCCGCCATCGCCTCAGCGTAAGAGCGTGGGGTCGGGATGTCTGGTGCATCCGGGTCTCCCTCAGGGGCAACTAGCAAGGACACGAGACGGGGCAAAGCAGCAGCAAGGCAGTGGAACTCCTCCTGTCTGTCCTCAAGGACGTCCGTGCCGAGGGCACACTCACCCCCGACGGACGGAGGACAGGCAGACGCAGACTCAGACCTAGCGACAAGGCTGGCAGCGTAGTCTAGGCGACAGCGAGCAGCAAAGTCAACCAACTCAGCGACCAGGGCAGACGCAGCAGAGGACTCAAAGGTCGGGTCAGTGACAACTGTAGCGAGGAGACGCGTAACAGTGGGACTGGCAGCACGACGGGAGTCAGACTCCGGGTCAGGAAGAGTAGGAAGAGAGGACGCAGGAGGAGACGGCAGCGGGACACGCTGCGGAGCAGTGGAGGGACGCAGAGTCATGTAGTGAGTGCCAGGGACAGGAGGAGGACGCTCACGTGGGACACGACGACCAGTGCGAGCAGTACGAACAGGCGACGCAGGACGAGACTCAGGCTCACGACGCTCTGTAAGACCTCCTGTGGGACCAGCGTAAGGGGAGGGAGCAGGGAGAGGCGAGACAGGCGGTAACTGTGACTGCTGCTGGACAGGCAGAGGACACTCGACGGAGGGAGGAGGACAAGGAGGAGGAGCCTGACCAAGAACCTGCTGAAGGAGCGGTACGAAGTACGGTCGCGGCCGCGCAGCGTCTCCAGAAGCAGCAGGGACACCAGTGGCAGCCGCAACGCCCGAGTCCTCAGCACCAGCAGAAGCTCCAACGCCCGAGTCCTCAGCACCAGCAGCAGCGTCACCGGTCGGGTCCTCAGCACCAGCAGCAGCTCCAACGCCCGGGTCCTCAGCACCAGCAGCAGGGCCACTGGTCAGGTCCTCAGCACCAGCAGCAGCACCACCGGTCGGGTCCTCAGCACCAGCAGCAGGGCCACTGGTCAGGTCCTCAGCACCAGCAGCAGCTCCAACGCCCGGGTCCTCAGCACCAGCAGCAGCTCCAGCCCCCGGGTCCTCAGCACCAGCAGCAGCTCCAGCGTCCGGGTCCTCAGCACCAGCAACAGTACCACCGCTCGGGTCCGCAGTACCAGGAGCACCACTACGAAGACTGCAGCGCCGCGTGTACCACTCGCGGATCACCTGAATGGGGGGGAGCTCCTGGGTAGGAGGGGAAGCACTGGTACCAGCTCCAGCAGCACCTCTCCGGAGGCGGCAGTACTCGAGGTACCTCTCCTGCAGCTGCTGGGAGGAGGGGGCTCCTCCAGGTGGAGCACGCTCAGGCTCAGCACCCCCAGACTCAGCACCTCCAGGCTCCGCACCTCCAGGCTCCGCACCTCCAGGCTCAGCACCCCCAGTCTCCACACCTCCAGGCTCAGTACCTCCAGGCTCCGCACCTCCAGGCTCCGCACCTCCAGGCTCAGCACCCCCAGGCTCCGCACCTCCAGGCTCAGCACCCCCAGGCTCCGCACCCTCAAACGCAGCACTCCCAGGCTCAGCACCCCCAGACGCAGGACGCGAGTCAACAGCTACCTCGACAGGCTCACCCGGGTCTACCTGGGACACACCTGAGGGAGCGGCACCCTGAGGGGGGAGGGGGTCTGGTACCTCAGCACCTGGAGCGAGGAAGAGAGGCGGGGGGGGGGGAGCGGGGCAGTGCGGTAGGGGAAGAGGCGGTAGAAGGGGACGGACTCGTCAAAAGTGACGTCCTGAGAGGCCAGAACCCGGCGCGAGGTGACGTGGTAAAACTGCCATCCAGGCGCGTCGGGAACAAAGCCAAGAAAGACACAGGGAACAGTGCGACGCGAGAGCTTGTCCGCGGACATGTCGCGGACAAAAGCTCGAGATCCCCAGACCCGGAAACGCGACGCATCGCCAACCTCTCCCGTCCACCGTAGAGTCGGGGAAGTCTCCGGCAAGGAGACACGGGGCCAGAGGTTGAGCTGATGCGCTGCGTACCGGACCGCAAACGGCCACAGAAAGTGGGGAGCAGCCGCATGGGTCAGGGAGGTACGAGCGACCTCCATGACTAAGCCAATGCGGCGCTCAGCAACCCCATT